CATCTACCTAAAGACTAAGATTTGATTCTTTACACCATTTTAGAGTTAAAATCCAGAGCTGTTCCGGGCAAATCTAGGATACAAATCCGTGTAAAATTTGTCATTTTCATACTTACTCGCATACCTACACAAAATCTAGCACTTGAGCCAGACTGCCCCTTTGATTGTTAGGGGGTCAAATAGGAGCTGAATTTGAATCTGCAAAACCAGTCAAACGACAGCTTAATCTCTCTTAAGCCGGTCAAAGGCTCGTTCTTTCAGTTCCATGGACTGGCTTACATCACCACGAGCATTATAGCGGGGCCAAAAACGCCCGAGTTGGCATCATTTGACTTAGCGGAGATTTTGTGTCCTCGCCCCGAGTTGTTTTAAGATTCGAGTGCCATGACACCCGCCTCATGAAGGCAATACAGAAAGGCTTAAGTTCGTTGGTAGTAACATCGTCCCATAACTTTTATGCTTACTACTAGTATGACCATCACTACAGTATTACTGTAAACGAACTGTATTTAGCTTGAAGGACGAGCGTATTCGTAACAAACCATGTCGAGCGGGCATGATGTCTTCAATACTTGAGGGTAGTACTCCAGAAATTCGGTTTTCCGTCCAGGTCTGTTTATCAATATGCTTACATGATGACCGCTAGCAGCGCGTAAAGTTTATCCATGAAGTATGGATGACGCATGAGCAGGTTTTTAAGATACTCCATCTGACTCGATAGCCCTCTTTCTTCAGCCTCGTCGGATGTAATCGTCTTCTCACTCGCGGAATGACCTGTAGTAGACGTAGAGGGATTACTGATGTCTTGAAGAGCACGCTTGTCCATGCTGCCATCTTGCTGCGAAGGACTACGAAGTTTGGTGCCGTGCGGGATTAAGTTGGACGTACTTGGGTGCGCCGACACGCTATTAACAGCCACAAAGGTCATGCATGCAGCGATGAAAATGGTTCGGTGTACGCGCATGTTTGATCACGGTTGGTACCTGGGTAGTTGAAAGAAAAGATGGGAATGGCTCAAGTATGCTGAGTACTTGTGAATCTGCGTCAACACTTGGCATTGCCAAGTGTTGATGCCAATGGCATCGCAGCCAAACGGTGCACTTCGTGCACATATGGTTGTGACACACTGTGTGTGTACGGTTCCAATTAACATCCGAAACGAACTCCGATGCGTAATTAGGGTACGTGTTTACTGTATACTGGCCAGTAATACACATTTATCAGTAATACACAATATAGGAATTACTAAATCGAAATAGAATGTCGTATTAAGAATACACAACCTTATACAGTAATCTGCCTCCCACTAA